CAATGCAAGGCAAGGCAAGGCAAGGCACGGCAAGGCAAGGCAAGGCAAGGCATGGCAAGGCACGGCAAGGCAAGGCAAGGCAAGGCACGGCACGGCACGGCACGGCACGGCACGGCAAGGCACGGCACGGCACGGCACGGCACGGCACGGCAAGGCACGGCACGCCACGGCACGGCACGCCACGGCACGGCACGGTACGGCACGGCACGGCACGGCACGAAACAGCACGGCACGGCACGGCAAGGCACGGCAAGGCAAGGCACGGCAAGGCAAGGCAAGGCAAGGCACGGCAAGGCAAGGCACGGCACGGCACGGCACGGCACGGCAAGGCAAGGCAAGGCAAGGCAAGGCACGGCAAGGCAAGGCAAGGCAAGGCAAGGCAAGGCAGGCAAGGCAAGGCAAGGCACGGCAAGGCAAGGCAAGGCAAGGCAAGGCAAGGCACGGCAAGGCACGGCAAGGCAAGGCAAGGCAAGGCAAGGCAAGGCAAGGCACGGCAAGGCACGGCACGGCACGGCACGGCAAGGCACGGCACGGCACGGCACGGCACGGCACGGCAAGGCAAGGTACGGCACGGCACGGCAAGGCAAGGTACGGCGCGGCATGGCACGGCACGGCAAGGCAAGGCAAGGCAAGGCACGGCACGGCACGGCACGGCACGGCACGGCAAGGAACGGCACGGCACGGCACGGCACGGCACGGCACGAAACAGCACGGCACGGCACGGCACGGCAAGGCACGGCAAGGCAAGGCAAGGCACGGCAAGGCAAGGCAAGGCAAGGCACGGCAAGGCAAGGCACGGCACGGCACGGCAAGGCAAGGCAAGGCAAGTCAAGGCACGGCAAGGCAAGGCAAGGCAAGGCAGGCAAGGCAAGGCAAGGCACGGCAAGGCAAGGCAAGGCAAGGCAAGGCAAGGCACGGCAAGGCACGGCAAGGCAAGGCACGGCAAGGCACGGCAAGGCACGGCACGGCACGGCACGGCAAGGCAAGGCACGGCAAGGAACGGCACGGCACGGCAAGGAACGGCACGGCACGGCACGGCACGGCACGAAACAGCACGGCACGGCACGGCACGGCAAGGCAAGGCAAGGCAAGGCAAGGCAAGGCACGGCACGGCACGGCACGGCAAGGCACGGCACGGCACGGCACGGCACGGCAAGGCACGGCACGGCACGGCACGGCAAGGCAAGGCAAGGCAAGGCAAGGCACGGCAAGGCAAGGCAAGGCATGGCACGGCAAGGCACGGAACGGCACGGCACGGCACCGCACGGCAAGGCAAGGCACGGCACGGCACGGCACGGTACGGCACGGCACGGCAAGGCAAGGCAAGGCAATGCAAGGCAAGGCAAGGCAAGGCACGGCAAGGCAAGGCAAGGCACGGCAAGGCACGGCAAGGCTAGGCAAGGCAAGGCAAGGCACGGCAAGGCAAGGCACGACAAGGCACGGCACGGCAAGGCAAGGCAAGGCACAGCAAGGCAAGGCAAGGCAAGGCAAAGCAAGGCACGGCAAGGCAAGGCAAGGCAAGGCAAGGCACGGCACCGCAAGGCAAGGCAAGGCAAGGCAAGCTAAAGCACGGCACGGCACGGCACGTCGCGGCACGTCACGGCAAGGCAAGGCACGGCACGGCACGGCAAGGCAAGGCAAGGCAAGGCACGGCACGGCAAGGCAAGGCAAGGCAAGGCAAGGCAAGGCAAAGTAAGGCATGGCAAGGACAGGCAAGGCAAGGCAAGGCAAGGCAAGGCAAGGCAAGGCAAGGCACGGCACTGCACGGCACGGCACGGCACGGCAAGGCAAGGCAAGGCAAGGCACGGCAAGGCAAGGCACGGCACGGCACGGCAAGGCACGGCACGGCAAGGCAAGGCAAGGCAAGGCAAGGCACGGCACGGCACGGCACGGCACGGCACGGCACGGGACGGCACGGCACGGCACGGCACGGCAAGGCAAGGCAAGGCAAGGCAAGGCAAGGCAAGGCATGACAAGGCAAGGCAAGGCAAGGCAAGGCAAGGCAAGGCACAGCAAGGCAAGGCAAGGCAAGGCAAGGCACGGCACGGCACGGCAAGGCACGGCACGGCAAGGCAAGGCAAGGCAAGGCAAGGCAAGGCAAGGCACGGCACGGCAAGGCAAGGCAAGGCAAGGCAAGGCAAGGCAAGTCAAGGCAAGGCACGGCAAGGCAAGTCAAGGCAAGGCACGGCACGGCACGGCAAGGCAAGGCAAGGCAAGGCAAGGAAAGGCGAGGCAAGGCACGGCAAGGCAAGGCAAGGCAAGGCAAGGCAAGGCAAGGCACGGCAAGGCAAGGCAAGGCACGGCGCGGCATGGCACGGCACGGCAAGGCAAGGCAAGGCAAGGCACGGCACGGCACGGCACGGCAGTGCACGGCAAGGAACGGCACGGCACGGCACGGCACGGCACGGCACGAAACAGCGCGGCACGGCACGGCACGGCAAGGCACGGCAAGGCAAGGCAAGGCACGGCAAGGCAAGGCAAGGCAAGGCACGGCAAGGCAAGGTACGGCACGGCACGGCAAGGCAAGGCAAGGCAAGTCAAGGCACGGCAAGGCAAGGCAAGGCAAGGCAGGCAAGGCAAGGCAAGGCACGGCAAGGCAAGGCAAGGCAAGGCAAGGCAAGGCACGGCAAGGCACGGCAAGGCAAGGCAAGGCAAGGCAAGGCAAGGCACGGCAAGGCACGGCACGGCACGGCACGGCAAGGCAAGGCACGGCAAGGCAAGGCAAGGCAAGGGAAGGCACGGCAAGGCACGGCAAGGCAAGGCAAGGCAAGGCACGGCAAGGCAAGGCAAGGCAAGGCAAGGCAAGGCACGGCAAGGCAAGGCAAGGCACGGCACGGCACGGCACGGCACGGCACGGCACGGCACGGCACGGCACGGCAAGGCAAGGCAAGGCAAGGCAAGGCAAGGCACGGCAAGGCAAGGCAAGGCACGGCACGGCACGGCAGTGGCAGTGGCAGTACGACTTTGGGAACGGACTTCAGCCAATCGCGTACGAGTCCCGCAAGCTTCACCCGCCTGAACGCAACTACCCGATACACGACCGCGAGATGGTGGCGATCGTGCATGCGTTGAAGGTGTGGCGATGTTACCTCACGGGAGCAGATGTGACAGTACGGACAGACCACCGATCCCTACAGTACCTTCGCGCCCAACCGAATCTCAACGCACAAGAGATCCGCTGGTTGGACTATCTGAAGTCCAATTTCCACTACACGGTCACGTACAAAAAAGGCACATCCAACATCACCGACGCACTCACACGCCCCACCGCCCAACTCCACGCCATCCTACTCGCCCAAACCAGCCCACTGTTATCAGGCCTATTCACCCATTGATACAGTACCGACCCATTTTCACGACCGGAAATTCACAGCAAGTGGTAGAAGCAAAAGGAGTCTATTACGTAAAAACAGGCACCAACTGTCAGAATCCCAAACACTAGACCATTGGGATCAAATGGCTTGTTAAGTAGTGGGTCAGTGCGCCCATAACCCCCCAAGCCAACATACCTGTAACCCTTCCCTAGGATCAATCGAGGATCACCAGTGGACCTCTGACACCCCCCCGCACTGGGATGCCCGAAGTGCACACCCTCGGATTCGAGCCCGAGACCTTTGCTCTGATACCATGTCAAAATCCCAACCGCTAGACCATTGGGATCAAGGGCTTGTTAAGTAGCGGGTCAGTGCGCCCATAACCCCCCAAGCCAACATGCCTGTAACCCTTCCCTAGGATCAATCGAGGATCACCAGTGGACCTCTGACACCGACCGCATCTGGGTACCGGCGTACTCACTACTGAGGGAACTGTTACTGCAGGAGGCACACGACGGGATTACCTCGGGACATTTTGGGGTAGAAAAAACGCGACAGCAACTACAGCGGTATTACTACTGGCCGAAGCTGTTGACCAACGTACAGCACCACGTGGGCTCGTGCCCTACGTGTCAGGTGATGAAGAGCTCGCGAAAAAGAAAGGCGGGTCAGTTGCAGCCGATTCCACCGCCTGAGCGCGCCTGGCAGCAGGTTACCATGGACTTCGTCACATGGTTACCTTCGAACCCTGGGGGTAACGACGCGGTTATGGTCATCGTTGAAAGATTGACGAAGATGGCACACTTTGCTGCGTGCAAGAAATCGATCTCAGCTAAAGAAACCGCTCGCTTGTTCATCGCAGCCGTCGTGCGACTTCACGGGATACCAGCCGCGATAATCAGCGACCACGACGCGAAGTTCACCAACAACTTCTGGAAGAACCTCAGGGAGCAGTTTGGGAGGAGGCTACAGTTCAGCTCGTCGAACCACCCCGAGAGCGACGGTCAAACGGAGCCGACGAATCAGACGACGGAGCAGTTGATTCGTGTCATGTGCGACGACCCGACCACTTGGGAGCAGCAGCTGCCGCTGATCGAGTTCGCGTAGAACAACGCCACGTCAGCGACGACGCAGCAGTCCCCTTTCTATCTGAACTACGGGCAAAACCCTACAGTGCCCATGACGCCGAGTCCAGACAACCCAACACCACGTGCACAACAATTCGCCGAAATTCTGCAAGCTGCCCGCACCAGACCCGCAGAAGCAATTAAAAAAGCCAACGCCATCACTAAGCGCAACGCTGACCGCCACCGCCGCCCAGTCACGTACCACTCAGGAGATTACGTACTGCTCGACACACAAAACTTAAGACTGCCCGTTGTACCAAAATTGCGACCCCGCTACTGTGGACCATTCCAAATCGGCGATATGATTACCCCAGTGACAGCTCACATACCGTAAAGTGCCACCTATAGGACCCGCCGTTAAGAGGGTCCCCCGGGACTCTTGAATGAGTAGGGGGACTCTTATTGTGGCAGGTTTTGTGAGGACCCCCCCTTTGTAGCTAATCATTATAAGACCCCCCCCTTTCCATATAAGGCCCTATTGAGTTTGGTGCAGTTAACATTGTTATCGTTGTTACCTACCGTACTACATACACATCTCAACACCTAGTGGTCACTACAACTACGGCTTGGTCATGTTAGATTCCATCAAGCACTTAGCGTTCGCATCCTCCTCCAGCCCACCCTCCGCCTCCTCTTCCTCGTCATCCACATCGTCCTCCTCCTCCTCCACCTCCTCCTCCTCCTCCTCCTCCTCCTCCTCCTCCTCCTCCTCCTCCTCCTCCTCCTCCTCCTCCTCCTCCTCCTCCTCCTCCTCCTCCTCCTTCTCCTCCTCCTCCTCCTCCAAGTCCCCGGCATCCTCAGCATCCGCAGCCTTTGCCGCCTCCTCATCCTCCGCGGCTGTGGCGAACAGTGGGTTCACCCACTCCTCCACCTCAGGGGCGACGTGCACGTCTTGTGCCACCTCGACCTCGCCCGCATCACGCATGTGGGCCAGGACGAGGTGATCTTGCTTCCCATCGACCGAGTTGCTGATGCCTGTCGTGAGAAACGCCTTCTCAATAATGTGCTCGGGGACAGCCGCCCAAGCACTCGCAATCCACTTGAGGACCGTCTCTGCTGGCGGCTTCTTCCGGTTGCCTGCCATGTAAACAGGAAAGAACAGGCACGGGGCGCACACGGGGAGTTATCATAAAGCCAACAACCAGCTACAAACACGCCACAAGGCAAGGTACTAAGCACGGCACCGAAACTCACCGGCTTTCGTGAATGTGTTGACGCCAAACTCGGCAAACCAGTCAATGTAGAGCTGACGGAGCAGTGCCTTGAATAAGCGATTAACGCTCACATCAAGGGGCTGTAGCAGTGGGGTGCAGCCCCCGGGAATTATTGCCGGAATTACCCGGTTCCACTTCATGTTGGTGAGAACGCCGTCGGTGAGGTGACCCTGGTATGAGTCCACGACGAGAAGCGTCTTGGAACGCCGGATGCCACGCGGAGGCTTGATGAACGGCAGCAGAACGTTATTCACCCAATCATCCACTAGCTTTGCATCCATCGAGCCTTTCGCCTGCGCACGAACAACGACTCATGCAAAGAAAACAACGCACGTGGTTAGAAATCCGCCACGAAGAGAGACTACCGTGATGGTTACAACTCTAGCAACTCACCTGCAGGGACCCGAATTTTCGGGATCGTTTTGCGCTTGAAGATAACCATGGCGGGGAGCTTGCGCCCGCCCGCGGTGATCCCGAGCATGACAGTCACCCTGTCCTTCTCGTAGCCTGCGCTTCTGACGTGCACCGTCTTCTCTCCGCGGTGATGCAGGGTGCGCTTGTGCGGCATCTCCAGGAAAACGGGCGTCTGGTCGGCGTTTATAATGTTCAATGCGTCTATGCCATGCTTGATTATGTTCCTCCTCGTGAACGCCCAGAACTTCTCACACTTCTGCCTGCACTCTGCCTCGGACGCGGACAAGGCGGGAGAAGGACATTAGTGACGGCGGTGGGTGCATTAGTGTTACATGTCGCCAAGCAATCTATACAAGCACACACACGGAGGGAAGCACAAGATAGCTCACCCGATGCCATACGCTGACCCATCTTTGTCTTCACGCGGATGGAGAGGCCCAAACGCTGGCGGAAGCGGAAGGTCCACCTGTTGGAAGCCATCCACCTCACATCAGGGTAATGCGCCTTCATGTAACACCGGCTCCAGTGCTTGATGAGACGAATAGGCACGGCCAAGGCACGTCCGCGGAAGTTCAGGAGCCGCTTGTAGGTATGCGCCTCCATGTCGGGATATTTTGCCTTTCTCCCTCCACCACTGAGTCGGCGCCTGGACGGTGCCGCCTTCTTAATCCGATCCGCCGCCCTTATCCACCGGCGGACGCTGACAGGCTGCACCCCGGCGAGACGTGCAGTGGCGCGGACAGAGAGCTTCTCATCGTCCATCCGCGGGAGCCATTCCTGCTTCTCACCCATGGTTCGCGCAGTGCGATGTGAAACTATGAGCAGAGGAATGAATTGACTAAGTCAGAGTTGGGTACAAATACAACCCTAGCAAACTGTACCCCATATGTGCTACCCCACTATAGCCTACAAACATGCATCAGCTATAATAATCTGACACACCCCCATAGGCAAAGTGGGGGAGAACAAGGGGTCACAAGACCAGTCAAGCAAAGCAAAACAAGCTCAGGGTGGATCACAAAGTCACCACACAGTCCGAGCACAAGAGCAAGGCCAGAGGCCAGTTCACATGCAGGAGTAAAGACATATATATAAAACTAGACAAGCAAGAGCAGGTATATATATGTCAAAGTACAAGTAAAGTCAAGAAGAGAGCAAGTGAGGCAAGACAGGTACAAGACCCAGCTGGGTACAAAAGCGCTGATGGTCGCAAGGCGCAAGTGCCTTGGTGAACACATCAGCAGTGTTGGCCTCAGAGGCCACGTAAGCAAGTCGCAACTGACCACGCTGCTGCAGCTCACGAGCAAGGAAGTAGCGGAGAGCAATGTGCTTCGTTCTGTGCTCCAAGCGCTGCTCTCGACACAAGGCCAACATGGCCTTGTTGTCTACGTACAGCACTGGAGGAGAACGAGGCAGCTCTCCAAGGTCAGTCAGCAGGTAGGTGAGCCAGCGAAGCTCCTGTGCAGCCATGGCCCCGGCGTAGATCTCAGCCTCACAACTGGAGCCGAGAACCGAAGACGAGCGAGTAGACCGCCACGAGACAGAGCCGGAACCAAGGCTGAAGGTGTAACCCTGTGACGACCGCTGCGTAGCCTGGTCGTCAGCCCAAGAAGCGTCTGCGTGCCCAGTAAGGACCACTGGACTCCGCCCTCCAAGCACTAGCCCCATGCCCGACGTACTGCACAGGTAGCGCAATACCCTCTTCGCTGCAGCCATGTGCTCTGGTCGGTGTCTCCCAGGAGCAACATAGCGTGCAAGGATGCTCAGAGGGTATGCAAGGTCAGGTCGAGTGCAGGTCATCAGGTACATGAGGCAGCCAACAAGCTCTGCATACGGACCACTCGACTCTACGGACTCATCCGAAGGCAGAGCTGAGAGTGAGTGGCGAGTAGGCAGAGGAGTGGCCTGAGGCGAGGAGTACGTGAAGCCGAAGCGCTGAAGGACCTGCTGCACCATGTGTGACTGAGTCAGGGTAATGGTGCGGCGTGCTCTGTCCCGAGTGATCTGCAAGCCAAGGTAGCTGCGCAGTTCACCCAGGTCTGTGCACGTGTGTCTCTTCAGCAGCTCGGACTTCACGTAGGCGAGTCCAGCAGTGTCCGCTGTGGCAAAGACCAAGTCGTCGACGTACACGAGGATGTAGAACGGCGGCAGGGAAGTGTCGGTGCGAAGAAACAGCGACGGGTCAGCAGTAGAAGGAGCAAACCCAAGAGCCGCAAGCGTAGTCCTCAGTGTGTCGTGCCACTCACGCGGTGCCTGGCGGAGACCGTAGACTGGCCGTCGGAGGCTCCACTGGGTGCCAGGAGGGAAAGTCCCAGTGAAGCCAGGCGGACGGCGCAGCCAGATCTCCTCGTGCAGGCTACCCTGCAGGAACGCAGTGCTGAAGTCGAGAGAGTGAAGCTCGTAGTCGCGCTGAGCGGCAATGTGCAGCAGCACCCGAAGAGTGGTCATCTTCGGGGTGGGAGAGAAGGTCTGAAAGTAGTCAACTCCCTGCCGCTGACTGAAGCCACGAGCCACGTAACGCGCCTTGAAGACAGGCGGCGAGCCCGGCGGCCGCTTCACCCTGAAGATCCACATGCCACTGACGATGTTCGCCCCAGGAGGGGGAACCGCGTCAACGTAGGTGCCTGTGGACTTCCAGGAAGCCATCTCTGCATCCATAGCTGCCTGCCACTGAGAGGAGTAGGGACCCTCTACGGCCTCCGCGTAAGAACGCGGAGTCGGGATGTCTAGTGCATCCGGGTCTCCCTCAGGGGCTAGCAGTACAGACGCGAGACGAGGTGAAGCAGCGGCTAGACACTGGAACTCCTCCTGCCTGTCCTCTAGGACGTCCGTGCCAAGGGCACACTCACCCCCGACGGACGGAGGACAGGCGGACTCAGACTCAGCGACAAGACGAGCAGCGTAGTCTAGACGACAGCGCGCAGCAAAGTCGACAAGCTCAGTGACAAGGGCAGACGCAGCAGACGACTCGAAGGAAGGGTCAGTGACAGCAGTAGCAAGGAGACGCGTGACAGTAGGACTGGCAGCACGAAGAGAGTCCGACTCCGGGTCGGCAAGAGCAGGAAGAGAGGAAGCAGGAGGAGAAGGCAAAGGGGCACGCAGAGGAGCAGTGGACGGACGCAGTGACATCCGGTGCGTGCCAGGGACAGGAGGAGGACGCTGACGCGACCCGCGACCACTAGCGCGCTCAGTACGAACAGGCGACGCAGGACGAGACGCAGGCTCACGACGCTCAGTAAGACCTCCAGTCGGACCAGCGTAGGGAGAAGGAGCAGGCAAAGGGGAGGCAGGCTGTAGCTGTGGCTGTGACCGGACAGGCTGCGGACCCTCTAAGGAAGGAGGAGGAGGTGTAAGACCAAGAACCTGCTGCAGGAGCGGAACGAAGTACGGTCGAGGCCGCGCGGCGACGCCAGAAACAGCAGGAACAGCACCAGCACCCCCGGCAGGAGCACTCACTCCAGCAGCACCTCCAGCAGAACCACCAGAAGCTCCAGAACCTCCAGCAGCAGCACCAGGAGCACCGTCAGTCGGACCACCAACCGCAGGCTCAGCGCCAACGTCCTCAGCAGGACCAGCTCCAGGAGAACACTCAGACCCAGCAGCTCCAGCACCCACAGGACGAGCACCGCCAGGTCGCGTGGCAGCAGCGCCCTCCGCAGCCGAAGAACCACCAGCACCAGCGGCACGCCTCCAGCGCCGGGCAAACCACTCACGCAGCTCCTGTGGAGAGAGCGGCTCCCGGTGATACGAAGCACCCCCAGGCACAGCACCTCCAGGCTCGGCACCTCCCGGCTCAGCACCCCCAGGCTCAGTACCCCCAGACACAGCACCCCCAGGCACAGCACCCCCAGGCTCAGCACCCCCAGGCTCAGCACCCCCAGGCCCAGCACCCCCAGACTCCGCACCCCCAGGCTCAGCACCCCTAGACTCCGCACCCCCAGGCTCAGCTCCCGCAGCAGCACCGGAGTCACCAGTGACCTCGACAGGCTCGACCGCGTCTACCTGAGACACACCTGAAGGGGCAGGACCCTGAGGGGGGAGGGGGACTACTGGGGGGGGACCTGGAACCAAGAAGAGGGGGGGTGGGGGGAGGGACGGAGTGCGGTAGGGGAAGAGGCGGTAGTAGGGTACCGACTCGTCGAACGTGACGTCCTGGGAGGACAGAACACGTCGAGAGGTGGGGTGGTAAAACTGCCACCCAGGGGCGTCGGGGGGGAACCCGAGGAAGACGCAGGGAGAAGCACGAGGGGACAGCTTGTCCGCAGACAGGTCGCGAACAAACGCCCGAGATCCCCAGACCCGGAACGCCGACGCATCGCCAACCTTCCCCGTCCACAACAGAGCTGGGGAGGTCTCCGGTCGAGAGACCCTGGGGTGGAGGTTGATCTGGTGCGCAGCGTACCTGACCGCAAACGGCCACAGAAAATGGGGAGCAGCCGCATGCATCATGGACGTACGAGCGACGTCCATGACCATGCCAATGCGGCGCTCAGCGATCCCATTCTGCTGTGGTGAGTCCGGAAGCGTGAAGGTCTGACGGATGCCTCGCACACGACAGTAGGTACTCAGGAGGGCCGAGGAGAACTCTCCGCCTCTGTCCGAGTGCAGACGCAAGACAGGGAAGTCAGAGCCAAAGCTTCTCCGAAGCTGAAGACGAGCTGCGCGGATCCAGTCGATCAACACCTGAGTGACCTCACCCTTGCTGCGCAAGGGGAAGACTGTGGTGTAATGCGAGTAGTCGTCAACCACTAGCAGGAAGTAGCGCTCCTGACCCTGTCCACGGACGCGGGCTGGGCCCCACACGTCCATGTGAAGCGTCTGCAACGGGGCCTCTGTCGGAGGAAACTGGGAGGAGTGAGGGGCAGCACGCTGGCGCCCCTCGACACAGGGGACACAGGCAGGGCCAGGGCCCGGAGGAAGGGGAGGGAGGGACCGGGGAAGACCAGACACAAGGACCCGCGAGGCCATGCCTCTGAGCCGAAGCAGAGAGGGGTGGCCAAGGCGGTGGTGCCAGAGGAGGGTCTCGTGAGACAGACGACGACACGAACAAGGGGCAGACTCAGGACCAGACCTGGACGCTGCAGCAAACACCTGACCAGACGAAGGGGCCCTACCAGACGCAGTACCTGGAGGAGAAGCAGTGGTCAGTGTGTACAGGCTCGACCCCGGCCGACGTGTAAACGTAGCCAGGTGGCGACCTGTATCCGCCTCCGTACAGTGGGTCACCCGCTGACGAGCAGGGGTGAACTGGTGGACACCTGCATCCTGGAGGTCAGCACCACTCACCAAGTTCGTCGAGAACGAGGGGAGGTAGAGACCAGTCAGGGTGCCAGAGGGGGCCGCCGGACACGGGAGGACAGTGGAGAAGCGAGACAGGACAGGCCCCCCAGAGGGGTCCGCCAGGGACACCGCAACAGGCCGACTCAGCGGCGTGAGAGTGGTGCGGTCCCTAAAGAAGGAGCGAGACGCTCCAGAGTCAAGGGTGAAGGTGTGAGAGGCCGAAGCCGACACAGTACCTGAGAGGGCGGACTCACCAGTACCTGAAAGCACAGACGCACTGGCACCTAGAGCAGCAGCCTCACTAGTACCTGACGCGGCAGTACCAATGCCCGGGTCGGGCGGGAAACACCGGTAACAGTCATCCTCATCACTACCAGTCACAGCATACATAGCAGAGAGAATAGCATCAAAGTCAAGATCATAAATAGCTACACCAGCCCTAGACAGCTCTCCCCAGCGGGGGATCTCAGCGGCCTCCGGAAACTGCTGACGCCAGGCGTCGGTCAGGCGGC